GTTAGAAAGATTTTTGAATCATGAATCCGGTCATGGTTTTGACCGGAGAAGTGTGAGTCCGAATGAAGTGTTGTCCAGATTAGAACTTGTCCGGTCATAGTGTTGACCGGAAAAGAGTGAGTCCGGTTGTGGGGTTGTCCGGATTGGAGTAATATGGTCATAGTGTTGGTCGGTTGTGTAAGTCCGGCTGCGTGTTGACTGGATTTAAATGTATTGAAAAATAATAGTATTGTTGTCTGGATGAGTAATCCAGACAAGGTTGACCGAATTTTAAAGATGGAAATGCATGGTATTGTTGTCCGTATATGTAATCTGGCCAAGGCTTGACCAGAGATGAATTCCGGCCAAGTTATTATGTTGACCGAATTGTTAAGAGTTGACCGGATATGTAATCCGGCTAAAAGTATTTTGATGACCGGATATGTTAATGAGTTGTTTTATTCACAAGGGAATTTTGTTAATGGCATATCATTATTTTTAAAAAGTTAAAGGATGAGTATTTAATATTTGTTTTGGAACTGTTTTTAAATAAAACATAGATGTTGTTTCATCTGGACGTTTGTGACTTCGGTCTGTCCTGATTGGGAATAATCTGTAAATTTTGATGAGGAAATAAGGGTGACATATCAAGGAAAGGTGTACTTTGGGATAAGGGTGGCATATCAAGGAGAGGTGTACCTTTGGATATAAGGGTGGCATTTGTGTGCGTGTTTAATGATATAACTCTTACTATTATATCCTTTAAGATTACAATGGTTTTGAGTCCTTATTTTCTTTGTGATTTAAAGATTCAGGATCATGATTCTTATTGGAAACCATAGTAAGAATGTTATTGAGAAGATGATAACTGGCTTTTGGCCAGAGGCTTTGAATAAACCTTGTTTCTGATAAAAAAAAGGTTTAAGAAATGTGTTATGTGAAACCTGAAAGGTTCTAGCCTGTTTGGCTTGATATGTTATCTATAAAGTCAAGTGATTGGCTTTGGGAATCAGAAAAGTACTGGTAAATATGGGGTGTTACATAATCTTTCCTTTGAATTAATATAAGTATTTCTTTTGCATCACTGAAAAAAGATCCCTGAAAAGAGTAATAGAGACACATGTCTGAGTTCCAGTGTTCTCTTACAGTCACTGATAATCTATAAGTCAGTGAAAATGCCTTCTATTTTAGTTTCACTTCTTGTACTTTTTCTTAAACTTGTAACTTAAGAAAATTTATTAAGTAAAAATTGACTCACTGAAAAAGATCTCAAAACAGTTAAAAGGGACATACACTTTATATGTAATTTTTCCTTGCTGTTATTTAATAAGACAACTTTCTTTATGTTGATTTGTTATCATCAAATAAGGGGAGGTTATTGATCCTCTCTCTCATTGATTTGATGATAATCTCTTTTACCTTTTACGAAGTATTATATTTTTGTCTTTTCAGTTCCAGCGATCATCACTGAGTCTGTTCAGTGATCGCTGAAACATGTATTGTAAATCTTACAGCGACAACGATACTTCAAGAAAACAAAACTCACACCAAATAACATTCAATGAAAGTCGAAGACTGAACCTGAAGATTAGTGACTGGCGCGTTCGTGATCTGAAGCGGCATGCAGTGATTACAACCTGGTCAACATATGTGTGAAGACTGCCCAAGCCTCAGCGAATGCTGAAGAGACCTTCAGTGTTATTCCAACATTCAATGATCAAATGAAGCTTGTTATGCAAGATTGCTTTTGTCTTGTCCTTTGACACACAAAGAACAAACCCATACCATTTCTAGAGTGTAGTACGGTACGGAGCCGACTAGTTGACTCGATTACCCACCAACTTCATGAAAGGATGTCTACTCATGAATAGGCATTTGTACTATTCATTGTAGCAAAGGACAAGCTTTTCTCTAAAAGCTTGATGTTCAAACCCTACTGCATTGCATTAAATGTGCATTAAATGCAATGGGTATAAACAGATGTGTGCTCTCTCCATGCAAAGATACTAATCCTTACGTGCATATGTGAAAGAACACACACACACACACACATCTATGAACACTCACGCTTATCTTCAAGCAAGTTAGAATCCCTCTTAAGTGTTCTAAAAGTTCTTACCCAGAAAGAACTTATTTCCTTCTTTATATTTCAGCAAATCTTTTCTCTTTGCTAAGAATATCTGTGTGTAAAATTAAATTGTTTTAGATAGGTTTTTCTTTACTCTATCTATTTCTGCATTCAATCTTGTAAAAATGTGTATTGATCTTTCTTTAGCAATATATATTTTTAAATTTGAAAGTTCTTTGAGTTTTTATTCATCCCCCTCCTTCTACAAACTATTTCTATAAAACTCTTGTAGACCCTAACGGGACCAACAAAGATCAGCACAAATTTTTACAGATTGTTTGCAGAAGAGATAGGATATATAACCTATCTAAACAATCATAGATACACACAAAATTATAGATAGCAATAAGAAAAGACTTGCTACAAGAAATAAGATAAGAAGTAATGTGCTCTTCATTTTATTAAAGTGGGTCTTTCTCTTAGATAGAGAGTAGGGAGAGAAGTATCTTCTTGGGTAAGATTAGAGAAGGAGAGTGATAATTACTCAGCTATTTATATCTATTGCATTAAATGCAATTCAGAAGGTACATAGCACGTGGCAAGTTTTTAGAGGAAAGCTTGTCCTTTGTTGTAGTATACAATCCTTTTGGCTGTATATGAGTAGTCCTCTTTCATAAAGTAGGTAAGCACATTTCGAAACAAAGGAGTGACTCCGTACAATGCTTATTTGAAAGGTATGGGTTTGTCCTTTGTGTGCAGAAGGATAAGACAAAAACTATCTTGCTTGACAAGATTCATTTGATCGTTGAACACTGGAATGACACTGAAGGTCTCATTAGTGTTCATTGAATCTTATGCAGATTTCACACTTGTGTAAACGATCTTGTTATCACTGAAAACCACTTTAGATCATGAACTTGCTGGTCTTTAATCTTCAGCTTCAGTCTTCGGCATCGCTGAAGGATATGTGGTGTGAGTTTTGTCTACTTGAAGGATACTGGTCTCTGAATCAATTACAATACATGTTCAGCGATCACTGAACTGACTCAGTGATGATCGCTAAAATTGAATACAGAGATAATACACTTCGGAAGGTAAAAAGGGATCATCATCAAATCACTGAAAGAGAGGATCAACAATCTCCCCCTATTTGATGATGACAAAACAACATAAAGAAAATTGCTTAAGTTACTTCAGTAAGGAAACGATACTAGTAAAATACTTGTCCCTTTTAACTGTTTTGGGATCTTTTTCAATAATACAGTCTATTATGAAAGTTTACTTTAGTCGTAAATGATTACAAGGAAAGAATAAACTTTACACAATATTGGTAATTGAAACTGAAAGCATATTCATTGACTAGAAAGGTGTCAGTGGATGGAAGACATAACTAGAACTCTTAAGTACATGTCCCATTTACTCTTTTCAGGGATCTTTTTCAGTAAACTGATAATTTTATTGAATATTTTTCAAAGGAAAATATTACTAGTCATTAAAATCAGTACTGGTAGACCTAATACATAAAGGTTATACACTGAAAGATAAGAAAAGAAAATAAGATTACAAGATTGAAAGTACGTCTAATCTAAGTTTCTGTAGTTGATGTACTCAGGGACATCTTCTCCAAGCTTCTTACGTATGACCATTTCCTTTCTGATCTTGTGCTCCATCATCTCTCCAAATAGATCATTGTTTAGCCATGTCCTTAGATACTCTAAGTGATCTATCGGTCAGAGATGGAACTTGGATACTCGTTGAAACCTGTAGTGACCATCATAGTCTATGAACATAAGCCCAAACTCAGGTTTCACGTACACTGTGTTGGATATATAGGAACCCTTCTTAGGAAGTGACAAGTTCAACATTAAGAGACCGGCTTCCTTTGATCCTTAAGAAGTTCATCCAGAGAGAATTTTGTCTCGTGCTCGTTCTTGTGAGAAGGACCTTCTTCAGGTTCTTAAAGGTGTTTTCTTCTAGAGGGTTGCTTCTTTGGTAGAGGAGGAACCTCTATGATCTTCGACACATTGTTGAAGAGCTCATTTAGGACTTCTTCAACGTAAGGCTTGTGCCTGGATTTTGATATCTGAATAGCTTGTCGAATCTCTAGCCATTCATAGAAGCCATAATTGTTGAGGTATAAAGGATACTCAGTCACATCATCTACGTTTTCTAGAAAAATGACCATTGAGATTAGGAGGCCACCATCCTTCATTCGTCCATTGATGGTGACGTTTGAGATCTTGTGGGGACTTATTCTTGTCTCAATCCTTTCTTTGCACCAATTCAGATCTCGATCTTTCAGCTTCAACGCCCGTTGTTGTTTTTGTTCAACTTCAGTCAATAGCTGGGCCTGAGCTTTAAGAGGATCTTTCTTCTTGAGCTTCCCTTTGGCTAGAGCTTGGGCAACTAATGTCTTGGCTAACTCTAGACTGTCCTTTAGTTGTTTCTAGTGTAGCATCAACTCTTTTTTAGCCTTCAAGTACTCTTCTCATTCAGCGACAGTGAGGAAATCGAACTCACCACAACCAGAGGTATGAAGAGGGATTTTTACTCTTGTTTGGTCGAGCTGATTTATTAGCTGAATCATCCTCTGGTCTTCATTAGCATCAAAACACTCAGGTTGTCTAGTCGACTCCCTAAGTGTTGGAATTTCAGCTTCACCTTCATATGTGCTTTCACAAGATGTGAGATGTATTAATGGACTAGCAGGGTTTGTTGGTGTAGAGAGAATTTAAGGAATAGGGTGTTCGACTTCTAAGGAGATAGATATATACCTGGAGGAGTTTGCATCTTCAGACTTGCAGATAACCCATGGAACAATCACCAGATTGTATTCAACCGCTCATTTGCCCTTTTCCTTGGAGTGCTAATTCCCTAAAGCTGAAGGTCTCTCCCCCTGGAAAGATGGTTCCCTTATGGAGATTCCTTTCAGTGTTGGTTGTCTTGGGATGACCTAGATGTAGAAGTCATTATCGTCGTTGTCATCTTCATCATCATCACCAAGATCATCACCGACATCAGAGAGCTGAGGTTCAGTGTCCTCATCATCATCCTCATCACCAACATTTGGCAATACAGAGGTAAAGGGATAGTCTTCATGATCAGCAGGAGCAATCACGACATCATCATCATCTTTAGTATTGAATGCGTCCTTAGCATTAGGGATAGGAGCATCTACATGAGGGATCAGTGCATCATCATCATCAGCGGTTTCCTCAGCAGCAACCAATTTCTCTTCCTCTTTATCTTTCTCCCCCTCTTTGTCATTATCAAGACGAGAGGTGAGGTCATTTAGATGAGAGGAGTGGTTTTCTAACTTGTGCTCTAGAGAGAAGGAGCTTCAGCCTAGAAATTGTTAAAAGCAGCCACTCTTTCAAACTGTTGACGGTCAGCTTCTTTGAATGAAGGTTTAGGGACTGGCACCGATAGCTGGAGGAGTTGGAAGATTTACTGGAGAAGCTCACTAGGCCTGGACGTCATCAGCTTTGTTGGATAGAACAACTACAACATCAACATTAGCTTGGACTTCAGTCTTCACAGCCATCAGCGACTCCTTGACGTCATGGACCTTAGATTTGACAGCAGAGAGGCCGTTGTTCAGTTCTTTCTTTAAGGGTATTTCGTTGTGCACCTCGTCCATGTACAACAACAACTTCACATCCTCAACCATATCATAGACTTCAACTTCAGTCTCAATGGTTGTAGGTTCATTTCCTGAAGGACCTGTAGAGTCAATAGAGAGTTGAGCATAAGAAGGCTCAAGGTTAGTAAAAAGAAGATAAGAGAAGGCTAGGTGTTTACCTGAGGGGTCCTCAACGTCATTTGAAGGATTGACACTGGTTAATTCACATGCACCTTCTTGAGGATCGGCTGCAAGTGTCTGAGGTGCCTCAAGAGGAGCAACCTCAAGTCCTATGGTGATGGCTTCATCATTGGTGGGGACAACCACCATGGGATCATCAACGAGTGTGATGGAGACCAAGGAGGGAGGAAATGAGATGATGGTAGAGATAGAATGTAAGTGATCAGTAGTGGTGATGCTAGTATTCATACTTTCAGTGATTTGGTTCACTAAAGCGGTTGGGAGAGGAGCCACGTGTACGACAATATCTGAATAGATAACTGAAGAGCTAGGGAGGGTTAGAGAGAGTTCCTCGGGGTTAAGGCTTTTTTCAATAACTGAGACCTTTTCAGAGGTCCCAACTAGCAGTGTTGGTTTCCCCTTTTTGGCTTTCTTAGCCCTTTGTGAGGGACTAAGATAGGCTTCAAATTGTGTCCTCTTTTTATAGGATAAAATGGTGGTGGTTGGGATAGACTGAGGGGTATGCCACTATCTTAACCACCTGAGAAAGAGAAGAAGAAGAAGGAGGAAGGGTAAAAGAGGCATTGGCTATCCTTAACATAGGAATGAATAGAACAATGTCTGACGGCTTGGTCTTGTGGTCAAAAATTCTGGACCCAAGCCAACAGATGGGAAGATTACTTATAGTGGGATAGTTGGAAGTGAAGATCTTGGAGATGATCCCACTAAGAAATCTTGTGTAGGGCAACACCTTCTCACGCTGGCGCTTGTTCAGCTTCAGCACCAGGTCATCGAAGATCAACTGCGCATAGTTCACATTGATGATCCAAATCACTGACATATCAATATTCAACGCCACTCATGAGGGTTGATTATGTCTTCCAGTCTTGCAGCCCATGCATTTAATGAAGTGCGAGAAAAGATATTGCCAGACGAAATATATGCAGTTTTTCTCGTTCTTCATCGAGGACTTGTTCAACTCAGTGCTCGAGTCCTTCTTTAGCACCAGTTGTAACAGATATCATTCAGAGTCTTGATGATGTGTTCAGTGTCAGGTTCTATGGCCAAGGGCACATTATTTGGAAGACATAGAGTAGTCTTGACGATAAGAACGTCGAAGCTGACGATCATGTTGTTGTATGTGAAGAAGATCTTCTCAGCAGTGTTCCCATCCTTGTCAGTAATCTCCTTTGCCTCAGCAGTGTACCAGAATTCTTGGAGCAAATCCTTAACCATTATTGGTTCGAAGGTAAGAGCAAAACCTAGTACAGATTTTTTGAGAAACTTGGTAGGATCTGCAAACTGTGGCTTGTTTGCAGGGATGTCGAGCAGAGTGACATGGTTGAGTTTGAAGGATATTTCCTCCAAAGTGAAGTTAACACTTTGTGCAACCATTTATGTAAAAAGACAAAATGAACAAAAAGGAAGAAAGGTGCACAAATTAATGTTAGAAAGACAATTTAGGATAGAGTTCTGAAAGAAAAAGTTTCTTTTGAAAAATCCAGAAGAAGAATAGGGTTTTACAAGAATATTTAGGGTTTTGAAACTTAGATTAAAATCAAGAATGAGAATGATTCTTAATCTGTTTATTTGTATTTAAAAGAAACAAGAATCGTTTTTAAATATCAAACAAAGTTTCTTAGAAGAAAAACAGTCAAAAATATAGATTACAAACCTGTTTAAGAAAAAAGAAGGAAACTGGTTCGAAGTATTTTGAAGTTCTTGTTTGCACAAATTCTTGAGAGCAAAGGTTATTTAGAGTGTTGTGTAAGCGTAAAGAAAAATATGAGAGGGTAAATCTTATATTTATAGGTGAGATGAGTGAGAAGGAGGAGAGAGGAAAACGACGCTTCGAAAAGATGTGCAATGATGAAAAAACTTTGCACGTCATCATCCTGTGATCGGGTGGAAGAGTAATGGACCACGTGTGTCAGAAGGACGTGCAAGTAATGAGAGTCCATTATTTAAAAACTTTTAATGATGTCATAAAAATATGACCATTCATTATCATTTTCCTTTTAGAGAATCACTAAATAAGAAAAGATTTCAGTGATAAATTTAAGATTCTTTAGAAACAAAGGATCACTGCATAAGAAAGTTCCGTGCAGAGAAATACTGAATCATTTCACCTTTTAAAACATTTTAATCACTGAATAAGCAAAGATTCAACGATAGTTTTGTTTTAAGAAAAGACAAGTAGATATACCTTAGAGATATACTTACTCAAGAGTTCAGCGATAGAAGGAAATACTGAAACATCTCTTTTAAAACATTTTGATCACTGAATAAGAAAAGATTCAGTGATGGTTTTAACATTTTAGAAAAGAAGATAAGTATACATACCTTAAAGAGAAAGATACATTTACTCAAGAGTTCACTGATAGAATAAGAACACCGAATCATTCACTTATGTATCACTGAGTATTGCTTAGAGCTGAAGGAATTAATCCTCAGCGTCCAACATTCCAAGTTCACTGATTAAGATATTAAATCTTGTCTCACCAAGAGGCTTTGAAAAAAGATCAATGAGTTGATACTCAGTGCATACGAAATGAAATTCAATATCACCATTCATAACAGGATCTATGATAAAATGATACTGATCTCAATATGTTTGGTCTTGGAGTGAAGAACATGATTGTTTACAATTGCAATGACACTAGTGCTATCGCAGTAGATATAGATCTTTGATAGCTGAAGATCATAGTCACTGAGCTGGTTTTTCATCCAAAGGATTTGGGCACAACAGCTTCCAGCAGCAACATTTTTAGCCTCAGTAGTTGATGTGGACACAGAATTTTGCTTCTTGCTCGTCCAGCTCACCAACTTTCCACCAAGAAGCTAACAACCTACAGTGGTACTTTTCCTATCAATTTTGCAACTTGAAAAAATCACTATCTGCATAACCAATTAGGTCGAAACCCTGAGTCTTTGGGATATCAAAGGCCTAGATTAGGAGTTCCCTTAAGATATCTGAATATGCGTTTTACAGCAATCAGATGGGATTCCTTAGGTTCAGAGTGATATCTTGCACAAAGACAAGTAGAGTACATAATATCAGGTCGACTAGCTGTGAGATACAACAAGGAGCCGATCATTCCTCTATAAACAGTAACATTTACAGGATTTCCAATAGGATCCTTCTTCAGCGAGAGAGGAGGAGCAATTGGAGTCTTAATAGATGAACTTTTGGTTAAGTTGAATTTCTACAACATATCGCTGACATACCTACTTTGATTGATAAAGATACCTTTATCAAATTGTTTGATCTGAAGACCTAGAAAGTAAGTCAGTTCTCCCATCATGCTCCTCTGATATTCTTTCTTCATGCATTCAGCGAACCGAAAACACAAAGAAGGATTAGTGGAACCAAATATAATATCATCGACCTAACTTTGGACTAGAATAATATGACCCTTGACTTTCCTAAGAAATAGGGTCTGATCAATCTTTCCACAGACAAATTTCTCAGAGATGAGAAATGAATAAAGGGTGTCATACCAAGCACGAAGGGCCTGTTTTAACCCATAAAGAGATTTATCCAATTGATAGACATGATTAGGATATTTGGGGTCAATAAACCCTGGAGGTTGTTCAACATAAACTTCCTCCTGAAGTTTTTCATTCAGAAAAACACTCTTTATGTCAATTTAGTAGACTTTAAAGTCTTTATGGGCAGCATAGGCTAGGAAGAGTTGAATAGCTTCTAGTCTAGCCACTGGTGTGAAGGTTTCGCCATAATGGATTCCTTATTCTTGCTTGTATCCTGATCAACAAGACGAGTCTTCTTACGGGTTTCAATTCCTTGTTCATCTAACTTATTGCAATAAACCCATTTGGTATCTATCACAGTTTTGTCAAATAAATGCAGGACATGGTACCAGACTTTGTTCCTATCAAACTCAATGAGTTCTTCTTGAATAGTAGTGACTCATCTTGTGTCAATGATAGCCTCATTGATTTTCCTGGACTCAACTAAGGAAAATGTTAGGACTGAAAATCAATATTAAATTGTATTCGTCTCGAAAGATAAATATTGCCTATAAATAAAATAGACATCGTGTTTGACTTTGTAATAGTTAGTTTGACTTTGACTAAGCTTACATAGTTTGACCGTATATAAAGGGCAAGTCTTTTGTAATTTTGAAAAAGAGCTCATTTGCAATATTCAGTTTACGTAATAAGAGATTTGACCAACTTTGAAGTTTGAACTTTTCTCGCAACTCTCTCATAGTGTTCTTAATGCAATATCAAGATTCTGCCATGGATTTGCACTAGAAGATTGAAGATTGATTAAAGTGGAACATCAATTGGTATCAGAGCTGGAAATGCAAAGAAATCAATAGAAGAAATCAGAAGTTTGAAGATTTTTTGGAAGAAAATTTTCTAAATTTTTTTGTGTTCTTCATGTTCTTAGCATTTTATTGAGTTTGATCCGAAAATCTTTCTATATCTTCTGTTTGTATGTTAAAATTTTGATCATCGTGTGCGTAAGTGATTCGTAAATATTTGTTGTTTACAAATTTTCAGATTTTAATCATTCTTTTAAGAGTTTTGTTGATTTTTTGTGAATTTAGAAAATCTTCGTGTTCTTGAAACGTTTTGTAAAATTCTGGATTTTGATCCATTTTTGTATGATTTTTTGAAGTTTTTGTGTTTGTGTCATAGTTTGATCGAATTTCATCTTTTAATTCTTACAAAATTTTGTTTTTGGCTGATCGGACTCTCTAAATCGCTCAATCAAAATAACCGGAGATATCTAAATCGCCTAGTTTTAGCAATCTTGAGTAAATCGCTTACCATTTCATTTCAGCCCAAGGCCCATCTGGTTTACAACCCATACCTCATCTTCATCTTAATCGCTTGCTTCTAGACCGGATTTTGGTTTTATCGCACGCTTCTCTTACGTTTCAAGTTCCTCGTGTATTCCATCAAATTTCAAGGGATAAATCGCTCATGGTTTCACCGGTTTACTAACTCATCTACAGGTTCTGTTTGATTATCGCACAAAGGATTTTATCCGGATTTCTAAATCTATCAGACATACTGTCCGATTTAATCTTCATCGATCATCACTTTACTCGATTAGGCTAAATCGCTCAAAGATTTGATCGGTTTACTCCATTACTTTAACAGCTTCAATTAGTTTTGATCTAAATCGCTCGATACTGTAAACGGATTGTGACCGGACTTGACCTGAATCGATGAATACTATGACCGGTTTTGTCTAAATCGCCTGTAGTCGTGAT